TGAAAAGTAAAAGAAAAACTCTTTCATTGTTATGCAATCCCTCCCCCCAAGTCTACTCCACTGTGCAGCCTTCATTCTGGACTTCTGTCATAACAATAATACCCAAGCATATATCTCTTTAAATAGTTCTCTCCCTTATCTGTTTCAATGCAGTATACATCATTCCTCCCCTCCTTCCTTTAACCCCGATGTCAGGAGGTCCCCTTCTTGCCACACTGTCCTGGACTTTAGTCAGAGCCAGAAAAGGGTATCCTGTGCCAAAATTTTTATATGCAAATTGTCTTAACAATTTGCTATTAGAGGTACAGTACCCATCTGTCAGTTTATTATAACAGAGATTGATTCATATACTGCTAATTATTTTATAACTGGGTATACATACTGTTTGCTCTTATTAGTATAGCATTTGTCCATCAGTCAGCTATACTGATGCAGCTTGTGGATTGCTGTGATGCTGGAAGCTAAGCCACCAATGTGCCAAATGCCAGAAGGGTCATACATTAGACAGGTTACATCAAAGTTCCTACATTAAGATAGAGTAGGAAGGAGAATTGACCATTCACTAACAACAGAGAAGTACAGGTAGCAATAGTTTTAGAGGTAGAACTCAGATGGAAAGTCACTCATATATGAGAAGAAACAGATGCAAACAACCATTAATATTTGTAATATATGAAGTATGGATGTAGATAAACTAAAAGTTGTAAAGAGTGAAATGGAACACATGAATATAAGCATTCTAAGCATTAGTGAATTGAAATGAACTGACATAGGCTACTTTGAATCAGATAATCATATACTATGGAGGGAATGAAACACTGAGAAAGAATGGTGTTACATGCATAATTGAAAGGACAATTTTAAGTTTTATCTTAGAGAATAATGTTGTGAGTGATAGGATACTGTCCCTATGCTTATAAGGAAGACCTGCCAACATGGCTATTATTATTCAAATATATACATTAACTGCTAAAGCCAAAGAGGAGAAGATTGAGGATTTCCACAAACTTTTGCGTTCCAAAATTGATCAAGCATGAAATCAAGATCCATTAATGACTATTGGTGATTGCAGCATAAAAGTTGAAAAAAAAAAAAAAACGAAAACAGAATGGTAGTTAGAAAGTATAGACGTGGTGACAAGAAATGAGGCTAAAGAGAACATGACTGAATTTTTTACACTCAATGATTTATTTATAGTAAAAACCTTTTTTAAGAAACACAAAAGGTGACTTTACACATGGACCTCACTTGACAGGCTGCACAGGAATCAAGTTGACTATATGTGTGAAAAGAATCTTTGGAGAAGCTCAACATCAGCAGTTAGAATTAGACCAGGTGTAGACTGTGGAATAGACGATAACTTACTCCTGTGCAAGTTCAAATTAAGGCTTAAAAAAATGAAAACAAACCCCTAAGAACCAAAACATGACCTTGAGTCTATCCTACCTGAATAAAAAAATCATGTGAAAATAATAAAAAAAATCATTACTATAACAAGCAAGCAGAATATGGCTAAAGATCATCCAAAAATGGCTGAAAGTGAGGAAGGGTTTTCCTGCCACAGGATAGAACTTTTTTTATATAACAATTGTAACTTACACCACTGCTTTTGGTGGGAAAGCGCAGAATAGTATGTACCTTTTATGAAGAAGAAAACGTAATTTACAATGTTCCGTGAGAATGTTACTGCTGATTTTCTTTTCCAAAGTGTAGAATATTCTTTGATTTATAAAATTCATTTTTGACCCAGATGATGGTTCTTTTACAGACCAGTAAAATGGCTGTAACATTTTCACAAATGACGTGTAACTAAATCTGGATTTCTGATACCTTGTCATTGGGGGGATTCTATTTTACTTTGTTGCTTTAAAATTTAATGCAGAGAAGTTGTTGACTGTAGGGGAAATAAAGTTAATTCAAATTTTGAAAAAAAAAATGGCTGAAATAGTGCATTTACAGGGAACTGTCAGAAGTTCAGTCTGAGTTTAGAAGGGGTAGACACACCAGGGATGTCATTGCTGATGTCGAATGTATCCTGGCTGAAACAGAGAGAATACCAAAAAATGGCTGTCTACACTTTATTGACTATGCAACTGCATTTGACTATGTGGAGCATAACAAACCAGAAATGGACTTTTCTCCCCTTTTTTTATTATTAATTATTTTTTAATGCAACATATGTATTTTTTACAGCATATTCTTTCCATTTAATTTTCCCCCATTCAGTCAATATTACATATTTTCCTCCCTGGCCACTCCTCCCCCAGTTCGTTTTTTTAAAAGAAAAAAAATTCTTTCATTGTGATGCAATCCTCTCCCAAGTCCACAGTCCACTTTACTATGCATTTATTTTCCTGTAATCTTGTCATGAAAATAATACCTAACCTGCATAGAGAGAGCTACGTTGGCCTAGTGGACAAAAATCTATGCTACCGCTTTTCCCCATTTTCCCAGTGTCGCTGAAGCTGCAGCCATGAAGGTCGAGCTGTGCAGTTTCAGCGGGTACAAGATCTACCCTGGGCACGGGAGGCGCTACGCCAGGATCGACGGAAAGGTGTTCCAGTTTCTTAATGCAAAATGCGAGTTGGCTTTCCTTTCCAAAAGGAATCCACGGCAGATCAATTGGACTGTCCTTTACAGAAGGAAGCACAAAAAGGGCCAGTCGGAAGAAATTCAAAAGAAAAGAACCCAACGAGCAGTCAAATTCCAAAGGGCCATCACTGGTGCATCTCTTGCTGATATAATGGCCAAGAGGAATCAAAAACCTGAAGTTAGAAAGGCTCAACGAGAACAGGCTATCAGGGCTGCCAAGGAAGCAAAAAAGGCTAAACAAGCATCTAAAAAGACTGCAATGGCTGCTACT